CGATGGCGCAGCGGCAGCCCCTCGCAGTCCGCCAGGCTCCATGGTGAAGCTTCGGTGCCTGCCCGATCTGCTCCAATCCGTGCCGGCGCTGGTCTCTGGCGGCGGTGTCCATCGTCGCGTGGTGCCGGATAGCCAGATCTGGCGTTTGGGTATGATTCTCGGGGAAACCTCTGGCTGGCGCGGCGGCCCCCCAAAGTTGATGTCTTTGGCGCCGAGCTAATAATAAGTTTGATTTGAGATGAATAAAAGTAGCCATGAAGGTCTTTCCGTAAAAAAAAAAAAGCTTCCTCCCGGGTACAAATCGGAATCGCCCGCTCTATCGTCTTGTCTGTACCCAATCCATACCAACTTACCAAGTCGGACTCGGTAAGTCCCCGATCAATATAAGCACGGGAGGAATCACGGCGTCAATGCACACAACAAACGCTTCAGCCACGAGGAGCACAGGAGATACGTACATGCCAGCCACCCTATCAACCGCGTATTTGCAGGTGGTACTTTGATCGAGCGTCTGCATTGCCATGGCCGTGGACGACGACCAGATGCTGCGCCGGTACCTCCGCTGGGGCCTGCCCCTCGAGAGCGGTTTTAGGTACAAGTTAACCCCGAGGCCGGGCGAGCCCATCTATGTCACCGGCGTCTACCTGCTCGACTCGGAGAGCGCTGTCGGCCAGGGCGCCGTGGACGCCCGCGTCCATACTGACGACACGCGGGACCTCGTTAGCGTGTTGCTGTCGGCGGAGAACCCCCGCGTGGAGCTACAGACCCCGGTGCGGCTGGAGATGGGCAAGGAGTGTTGCTTTCACGCGGTCCCGCATGGAGGCGATTCCGACGCCGAAGCAGACACGGACGCCGATGCCGACACCGGCGCAGACGTCGACGCAGATGCCGATGATGATGCTGACGCCGGCCCTGGCGCCGACGCGGTCATCGTTATGTTCGAGGGTTTCCTTGTTACTCCGCGACCTCTTGACATGGAGGAGGGGGACGACGACGAAGAGGAGGAGAACGACGACGATGTCAAAGAGGAGGAGACTGGCAGCGACGACGACGACGACGACGAGTACGAGGAGAAGGAGAAAGAGGAAACTGACGGCGAGGTTGGCCAAGACGTGGCCAGGGCGAGCAGTGCCGGCGGCAACGCCAAGGAGCTTCGACAGGTTGTAGCTATAACTATGGCATTCTTAGGAATCCTTTTGTTTGTCTCTATGTTAGCATTCCTCGGATTGATAATGTAATCAGGAATTCATCGACGGCTGAACTGCGTCGTCACTTGTATTTGATTTGAAGTATAACAGTGCCGAATCATTGTGTTTAATCGAAGAGGAAAACGTATGTTCTATTGTGCAATTCCTATCCTTTTGTTTTCTGGTTGGTGAATGTGGAGTTGCTAATTTTCACTGTAAAAAGTGTAAGGGTATCTACAGGACCCTTAAACCATCTCGAAATGTTCAGACCGAGTTGTCCGAGCGGTACAAGCCCAACATGGACCCGTATTTGTTCACGCATCCGTTTTACTGCAAACCAAAAGCAAACCATAGGCCTTTGACGTGGTCCAGACATCCACCCAATGAACCAAAAGCCACCGCGTATCCTCTATTTGACGCCATGTAGTCCGAATGATGAAAGGCCACTGCTAATTTTCCGCTATTTGACGTAAGCCACTAACATGTACTCCCTCCGTCGGCGAATAGATGTACATCTAATTTTTATCCTAAGTCAAAGTTTTAATGTTTGAGATAGGATTTTCAGCACTCGGGTGCCCCTACACCCTTTATGAACAGTAAATTCAAAACAAATTCAAAAAAATCTGAAACGTTGGGACATCAAACATCATGAAACTTTTGATGATCTTGCAAAGTTTTAGCTAAAAATAACATTCAAAGAGTACTCAAATAAAAAAAACAAAATCATGTTTCAAAGTTTATATACATTTTTAGCAGTGATTTTGTTTTTTTGTGAGGGATCCACGAAGGTTATTTATTGCTAAAGCTTTTGCAGGAACATCAAACCCTTGATAATCATTGATCCCTGAAAGTTTGAGATTTTTTTAATTTTTTTCAATTTTATATGAATTTACTGTTCATGAGGGTGTAGGGGCACCCAGGAGCTGTTAGACATTTCCCTTAATGTTTTGATCAACTTTATAAGAAAAAGTAGCCGTATTTATGGCACCAAATTAGTTTCACTAGATTCATTTTGAAATGTATCTCTACTCCTAATGTCTCAGTACGTACGTCGTTTCGTTCGTTCATTTACTCCTTCAAGTCGATCGGACGAGGTCTGCATCCCACCATCGATTTTTTTCAACGCTACCAAACCTGTCATTTGTCTATCAGTCTTTGACAGTTCCACTATTTGATTGATCCAGCTCATGGAGCAAAGTTTACATATGCCTTGTCACGAGTTTTCCACATGGTTTCAAAGATATTACGTTTCAGTTTCTAACTATCTATCTGCTTTTACTTAGGTTTGACATTGCTTGTCACGGGTTAGACTTTGGTAGGTTTCATTTTTTTGGCTTCGTGATGTAGATGGAAGCAGAGGGAAGACTCGAGCGTACAGTAATTTCTTTTACTCGACGATACAAATTGGTAGTTGATGATTAGCGAGAGGTACATTCAAGGCTGGGTACCATGCCGCCGGCAATATGTGCAGTCTTTGTCAACGTCTACATTGCAGCCGTTCTAGGGTACCACTAATGGGACATCACTGAAATGTCATGTTTGCCGGATCAAAGCATTGTAGGTCTGGTAATCTTACTTTTCCACTACTTTGATGATGTTTGTATAAGTTGCGATTCAGAGAACACTTGGGACAGTACCTAGCCTGGTGGTCACATGCATTAGATGGTGTCTTTCTATAGTTTATAGGGTCCTGTGTTTGCCAGTTCATATTTTTAGGGGAGTTGACTGGAGAAAACAACATACAAACTTAATTACGATCACCCTTCAGCTTTGTTCATTAAGGAGTTTAGCCTGTACGTAACTGGTATGTGCAAATAATAAACCAGATGTGCAGACCTTTTATTAGACAGTATACGTTTTCTTTTCTTTTAACAACTTGTTCAAGTACTTGTGATCGGTTTTGGCAATGTGAGGCAAGGGTTTGCCAGCAGCCTTTTTACTGGCGGGGTGAGGCCACGTCGAAACCGTGATGGCGCCATAGAGTTCAACATGTATTTTTTTTTACCCAACACCGTAGAACAAAATGTTCTACGGTAAATCAATTAAAGAAAATATAGTACAAATATGTTACAGTTCCCCAAGGGAAAGAAGGAATAAAAGCTAGAATGCTAACCAATGCCTGCTCTAGGAATAAAACCCATGTTTACATATTATGATCTATCCACTGGGCAAATCGAGTGACATACTTTTGCTTGATCTTATGTCTAAGGAGCTTTAAGTCTTTTTTGAGGTGGAATCTCCAAGACTGAACCGAATGTGGAAGTGCTCTGAAAACTATATTGTTCCTCTGAATCCAAATATTCCAACAACCTAAAATGATGATTTCAACAGCAAATTGTTTTGAGAGGAGCTGAGTGGCCAAGATGGTGTCCTCATAAACTGATGTGCCTCTACTTCTATTTGGAATCAAAGAATTCCAGCAATCTTGTGCAAAACTGCAGTCCCATAATAAGTGCATAGAAGTCTCTTCTGCTTGCTGATTACAATTTGGGCAATATATATCATCAAGGTGCATGCCTTTTCTTAGGAGAAGAGCCCTGGTGTTCATTCTACAGTGAGCTACCAGCCAGAAGAAAATTTTGTGCTTGAGTCTGCTGGAGCTATCCCAAATGAGGCTGAAAAGGGATGTTCCTCATGCTTTTCCAGAAGAAAAATATAAATATGAACTGCAGAAGGTCTGCCTGTAGCCCCAATGATGCTCCATTTATCATTAACATGTGGATTTAAGGTTGGAGCCAAAATGGGAAGCTGGTTGAACTCCTCAAATGCTTCAACAGAGAGAGGTAAGTGGAACTGATCAATCCAATTTTCCTCCTGAAAGAAACTGAGAACAGATTGGTCCTCATGGAGTGCAAAGGAGTGAAGATGTGGGAGCATAGTTTGGAGACTCTGTTCCATCCAACTGTCAGTCCAACAGAGAATAGATTGTCCAGACCTATTGGAGCAGCTGCTTATTTGTTTGAATCTCTCAAGGAGGGCAATATGAGATTTCCACCAGAAGGAACCTTCAACTTTTCCTCTTGGTGGTTCAGAATGATAGTATTTCTCCCAGATCAAATTAATCCATGGTATATCCTCCTTATTAAGAATTTAAAGAGGTTTTTCATTAGAAGAGCCTTATTGTGTAGGGAGATATCTAGGATTCCAAGGCCCCTTGCTTCTTTGGCCTACAAATCTTGGACCAAGCAATAAGTGTTGTCCCTCTGTCCTCCATCCCAAACTTCCTCCAAAGGAAATTCCTCAAGTATTTGGTGACTTGCTGCAAAACTCCTACTGGGGGAGCTAGAGAGCTCATGAAGAAGATTGGCAGTGATGCAAATACAGATTTGGTAAGCAGTAGCCTTCCATCATAAGATAACATAGTGGAACAGCCAGAAAGCTTTCTTTCAATTCTTTGCATCATTGGGTTGAAATCTTCAATTTTTGGTTTTGATGTGCCAAGAGGAAGACCCAAATAAGTGAAGGGGAAATGGCCTTGCTGACAACCCAAAACATGAAGCAAAGAGTTGATTTGTGAGTCAGGGACATTCGGTGGCACCATGAAAGATTTATCATAATTAACTCTCAGTCCAGTGAAGGCGGAATAATGTAAGATGAGATTCTTGACTTGCTCAATTTGTCTAACATCGGCTGGCAGAACTAGGATTGTATCATTAGCATATTGAATCACAGGAAAGTCAGGGCAAGCTTGGCTTACTATAGGAGGACTAATTAGCTGATTATGCATGGCTTCATTGAGTATGGATTGCAGGAGATCAGCTGCCAGCACAAATAGCAAAGGGGAAACAGGGTCTCCTTGTCTGACCCCTTGATTACAATGGAAAAATTTCCCAGGCACTCCATTTAGCAAGACAGAAGAAGTGTCTGAAGAAAGGAGCATGGAGATCCATTTCATCCATCTTTCTCCAAAACCTCTAGCTTGAGGTATTGCAAGAATAGCTTTATGATTAAGAAGATCAAAAGCTTTCTCAAAATCTAGCTTGAGGAGCACAATAGGCTGCTTAGATTGGTGACATTGATGTAAGTACTCATAGGCCCACCCTAAACAGTCATTAATGTTTCTGCTCTTAATAAAACCATATTGGTTGATGTGCACCATTTTGAGAATAATAGTCTGAAGTCTGTTGGCCAGCAACTTGGTTATGATCTTGATGGAGCAGTTGAGAAGAGAAATTGGCCTGAAGTCATTAGCAATGACAGGATTGTCTTTCTTAGGAATGAGAGTGATGAAAGAAGCATTTATGCTCTGCAAAGAAATATTTCCATGATAGAAATCATTAATCATCCTGTAGAAATCTTCAGCAATGATGCTCGAACGGGCTTTAATGAAGTCACCATTAAAGCCATTTGGTCCAGGTGCTTTATCAAGAGGAGGATTTTTGACCACGAAGTCAATTTCTTGTTTTGAGAAAGGAACTTGTAAATCCTCTAATCCCTCAATTCTGTGAATAAGGTCTATTAGATTTAGAAGATCTGAAATCTCACTAGTTTGTCCCAATCTCTCCTTGAATGCTGACCAAAGAATTGCAGCCTTTGCATGATGCTCTGTCATTTCAACCCCCTGGTCATTGATAAGTGTCCGAATGAAGTTGTGTCTGTATTTAATTGTAGCCTTTGCCTGAAAGAACTTTGAGTTTTCATCTCCAAATTTCACCCATCTAATTATTGCTCTTTGCCTCCAATAAATAGTCTGAAAAGACGACAACTTGAGTAGATGTTCTTTCAACATATCCCTACCATTTTGTTCCACATCTGAGAGCATTCTGAATTCCTCAAAGTAATCCAACATCAAGATAACACTATTGGTTGCCTGAATGCTAAGAGCCAGATGTGAAATGCTCTTGCTCCAAATTTTTAGACCTTTCCTTAGCCTTTTAAACCTGGCAGTGATGAGTTTTGCACTGTTACTGGCCTGAATGGGTTGTTGCCAAATGGTCTTTACTACCTCCTTAAAATCTGGAAGTTGAAGCCAAAAATTCTCAAATCTAAAAACTTGTGCTTTAGGAATACTTGTACCAATTTGGACAACAAAGGGGCAGTGATCATAAATA